TAGTTCCAGTGTATGCACTCACTCTATCATGTGCTAGAAGTAAGAAGAACACTCACAGGTACTATGCACAGTGCTTGCACCACATAATAAGGATCTGCTACTATTTGGTGTTGAGACTTTACAAAGCATACGATAAGGAAATTATGTATTTCTTTGCCACTCTGTCATAGATGTAGTACCATGATTTAGAAAACATCAATTCTATTCCCCATTTTGCAACAAAATCTGAAGCTTTTGAAGTCTCCTTTCGCCCTACTTCCTTGCTGAAAAGTACGCATGCATATATATTAGGCTGTTACAGCTGGCACCTTATGCACTTAAAACAAAAACTGAGTAATTCAGACAGACTTCAGATAAGCAGTCAAGATGGGCTCTATCTTAACAGTATTGAACTCAGCTATATATAAACTTTTCATAAGGCCAGTCTGCTGAATCAAATACAAATCGCTTCCACTGCCTAAATTACTGCCAGCACCCCTCTTTGTTTTGCAGTCTGGAGATAATAAGTGGTCCTACTCACTGGCAGCCAAGGTGGTCATATGTCACAAAGCTTGAGAAATTCTAAAAGAGCAGCATCACCATGACCACACCGGGCTGTCACTGCGCTTCCAAGTCTCTCCATTACAATCATGTCACTGGGTTCTAGGCATTGATGATCTATGCTAACATGCAAATGTATCACTCAGTATGGGTTAAAGGTTAAGGTGCAGTAATATAACAGAAAGAGAACAGACATTAGAACCTGTACAATTTCATTTTGGTTTTTTTTTAAGATTTTATTTATTTATTCATGAGAGACACAGAGAGAGGTAGAGACATAGGCAGAGGGAGAAGCAGGCTCCATGCAGGTAGCCCGATGTGGGACTCGATCCTGGGACTCCAGGATCATGCCCTGGGCCAAAGCCAGACGCTCAAACCACTGAGCCACCCAGGCATCCCTACAATTTCATTTTGAAGTCAGTCTTCACCAATTCCCAAATTTGGGTATTGCATTACCAAAATGGGGGTAATAATACTCACTTTGAATAACTATTAATATGGGGGCACCTGGGTGGCTCAGCAGTTGAGCCTCTGCCTTCAGCTCAGGTTGTGATCCTGGGATCCAGGATCCAGGATCCAGTCCCACATTCAGCTCCCCGCTTAGGAGCCTGCTTCTACCTCTGTCTGTGTCCCTGCTTCTCTCTGTGTGTGTCTCTCATGAATAAATGAATAGAATCTTTAAAAAAAACTATTAATATATATTAATGTATATTAATATACCTATATTCATACCTTACAGTCACCAAAAGGGGCAATGTGCTTAGAGTGCCTGGCACATAGTAAACATTCAGTGGTAGCTCTTGCCATCATTAATAATCCCTTAGTCTCATTACCACAGCAGCTAGAGCAGAACCCTGAGGGTAGGGAAAGGAACTACCACTTGCTGGGGGCTCAGGGAAGTTCAGTTGCTTGTTGAAGCCCACACAGCTAGTGACTAGCACAGCAAGTATCTTAACTCAGGTCTCTTTCTAACCCCAAAGCCCAAGTTCTTGCCTCAAAAACCGCTACCATTTTTTGTGTGTACCCAGCCCAGAAAAAAAAGTAGTGATTTGACCACCTTAATGATCCAGGTTGTTTTAGAAAAAGTCAACCCAGAAAGACTGTAATAATATTAAACTATATAAAAAGCTATGCACAGAGTGAGTCTGCTTTCATGCAGACCTAAAGGCATGCCAACAAACAGCAGAGTTCATTCGAAACCATAAATAAAGCAACCATAGTGAGATCTAGAGTGACCCACTAGTACATCAAAGTGGATTATGCTGGAAAATTCCTGAGTCCCATCTTTACATCATCTTCCCAAAATTCCAGGGAGCTATTGGCACACATGAGAGTATCACAAAACCAGCCCCTAGCCCAGAAAACCTAGCTTTAGGTTGATGTCCCGGATGGTCCTCTTCCCCCCCAGAGCTCCTCTCTGGTAACCAAGGCCTCCGGGTTACCAGGCCTGAGGGAGAAAGCCAGCGAGGCAGGGTCAGTTGTCTGCTCCATCCGTTGTCCCGTACAGCAGGCAGCCAGGCTCCACCCCTCGTTGCCTAGGGGAACATTTGTTTTATTAGCAGGCCATCTAAACCTGGCTGTTGCCTGGGTGGCTCAGGGTTGAGTACCTCCCTTCGGTCCAGAGCATGATCCTGGGGTCCCAAGATCGAGTCCCACTCTGCCTCTCCCTCTTTTTCTTTTCTTTTTTTTTTTTTAGGGTTTTAAAGTTTTTTTTTTTTTTTATTAGAGACAGAGAGCGAGAGAGAGGCAGAGACACAAGCAGAGGGAGAAGCAGGCTCCATGCAGGGACCCCGATGTGGGACTCGATCCCAGGCCATGGATCACGCCCTGGACTGAAGGCGGCGCTAAACCGCTGAGCCCCCCGGGCTGCCCTTTGCCTCTCCTCCTGCTTATGTCTCTGCCTCTTTCTCTGTGTCTGTCATTAATAAATAAATAAAATATTTTTAAAAATCTGGTTGTTGTGGGACGCCTGGGTGGCTCAGCGGTTGAGTGCCTCCCTTCGGCCCAGGGCGTGATCCTGGGGTCCAGGATCGAGTCCCGCATCCTGCTTCCCACAGGGAGCCTGCTTCTCCCCCTGCCTATGTCTCTGCCTCTCTCTCTCTCTCATGAATAAATAAATAAAATATTTTAAAAAAATACATAGCAACTGCCCACAGGAAGGAAAAACAGTTGCTATTTTAAAAAAAATAAATAAATAATAAACCTGGCTGTTTTCCAGAATCCTGAGCCCCGTGATGGGGTTCTGCATAGGAAGGAGGGGAGTGTGCATTGTGGGGCAGAAATGCCGGAGGGACATTCCTGCTCACTGGACCTCTGGGAGACAGGGCCTCTGGGAAATGGCTTCTTGGTGCACAGAGGGGGGCTGGACAGGGCGGTCAGGCTCCCAGCCTAGACAGAAGCCCCCTCCCCCCCACCTCTCGAGCCCCATGGGCCCAGGAGCAGCAGGGACCGCATGGACATTGAGGGGCGCAGGGACAATCACAATGGGCCGAAGATTCCACAGAAGCTCCTCCCCCTGCCCTTCTTGGGGAGCTCGCTGGAAGAGGAGAGGCCCTCGAATAGTGAATGAGAGAACTTTCCTTCACTTCGGTGGGATGCTGGGAAGGATGGGCAGCCCAGGGGGGCTGAGCGGTTTAGGGCCGCCTTCGGCCCGGGGGGGGGGGGGGGGGACCCGGGATCGAGTCCCGAGTGGAGCTTCCTGCATGGAGCCTGCTTCTCCCTCTGCCTGTGTCTCTGCCTCTCTCTCTCTCTTTCTCCTTTCTGTGTATTTAAATAAATAAAAAATCTTTTAAAAAGAGAGAGAGAGAGAGATGGTGGGAAGGTGTGGGTTTAAACCAATGCCTCGGAGCAAACCTGCCCCGAGATGCACACCACACAGAAGACACAGCAGGCAAGTGCACACCCTTTATTATTAGAATCAGGAACCTGTGACAGATGCTGAGCTTGGTGAGCTGGGATTTCACGGGGGAACTCACGAACAACTTTCGCTCAGGCTGGAGACCATCTAACTTTCCACCCCCTGGACTCCTCCTGCCTTGGGGGGAGTGGAGAGCCTGCAGAGAACACACCAAGTGGAAGAGAAGTCTGGTTCTTTTTTCTTTATCTTATTAGTCTTCCCAAGGGAAGCACTACGCATAGCATGTCTGCTCTTGGACTGCATTTTGTTCTTCATCCACTCTTGCCTGGAAAGTAGCTTGGGATGGTAGTGGCCCGAAGCTAAGGGTTCAAGTATATAGCCAACACTCCCTCAAGCATGATCTTTCTTAAAGTCACCCAGCGGTATTTTAGGCAACCAGGAAGGTGGCTGTCCCTCTCAAAGGAGGAAATCCTTAGAGTATCAGAAAAAGTCCTGCCCGCACTTTCCTGATCTCTGCCACTGCTCATTTGTCCCACTTGGGAACAGTGAGATGAGCAATTCAGTGACACAAGTCCCTTAATGAAAGTCCCTGTTGTTACTCTTGGAATTGCAAAAATACCTAGATGTTATTTCAATTGGGCTTACCAGAAAATCATGCTATATGCCAGGCAAAAATGTCCTCCTAATATAATATGTATCCCAAAATAAGCTTTCCCCTGTTATCTAACCAAACTCACCAAATCAAGTTATAATGTCTGCAGCAAATATTAACATATAAGGCTAGCTCCTAACACATACTAGGCAATAACTATTTGTTTAGTGAATTAAATGTAACCCATCAAATTTGTTATCATCTATAGAATTTAATACTGTAACGCCTCTCCAGCTCTCCCAAATTAATCCCTTGTCCCAATGGAGAAACTATATCCTAACAAAATTGTTTTTTGTTTTTTGTTTTTTGATTTTTTTATTTATTTTTTATTTAACAAAATTGTTTTTGCTCTCCTTTCCCCACTGATGAATACCATCTCCTCTTCCCCGACTTCCTCTCACTCTTCTCAGCTCCAGCCAGTGGGGGGGGGGGGAGTCTCCATGAGGTGTGGGTCAGCTGGAATCAAGGTGTGATTTCTTTGGACTCTTGGGAGATCTTCTAATGGAAGGAGTTCAGCTTCTGCAGCAACAAACAAACAGCAAGTTCTGTGGGGCTCAGAGATACAAAAACCGGCCCTCACCTATAAACTTGAAACAAAAACAAGAAGCAAACATGAACATTGTAGTTTACTAAAGAAACAATAGCATTTTGAAGGAAGAGTAGTGCTCCTAAAATTCAATATAGTTATAACATGAAAAACATATGGCTATTCCCAGCCAAAGACATGGCATTTTCAGGAAAAGGAGGTTAATAAAGGAACAGAAAAGAGTATATTTACGTATGATAAAAAGTTGTTAGTTTCAGTAATGGAATAATAGATTGTTTTAGTTAATTTTATCTACAATAATTTTGGTTTTCAAATTTTCTGTAAAGTAAGTTACTTTTTGATCAGAAAAGGGTCTTGGGAAATTGATTTTTCCTTGGAGCGTTTTCCTTCTTACCTGCTTGAAATCAGTGAGTCTGTCCTGGGTCCGGGCCTCTACTCCCACCTGCCTCACAGACTTTCTTACATTTATAGCAGGCCTTACGCCATGGAAAATTCATGGCTTTACACCATGGGCAGTCCCAATTCACTGGACTGCATCCTGAGGCAGGCTTCTGGTGCTGGGAATCCCATGTTTTTTTCCCTTTTGGTTGCTTGGCCTTCTGCCCCTGAGGCTGCTTTTTCTTTTGATTTTCCCTCATACTTTGGCTCCTGCTGTCCCACATGGGGGTCACCTGGGACCTCTTTGGACCTTGGCTGTGGCTCCTGCCAAATGCCAGGTAGAGCATCCTCTGGGGCTTCTGTAGACCTTCCTGGCTGTGGCTCCTGCCAAACTCCAGGAAGGGCATCACCTGGGGCCTCTTTTGACCTTTTACTTGGCTCTCACTTCTGCTGTCCCCCAGGGGACCTGTCCCCTGGGGCCTCTCTAGATCTTCCTCCTGGCTTTGGCTACTGTTGTCCCCTAAAGGGGCCATGCCTTGGGGTGTTTCTGGACCTCCTTTGCTGGGGCTCCCACTGGCTGCCAGGGGTACCATTTCCTTGGGCCCCTCTAGATCTTCTCCCTGGCTGTTTCTCCTGCTGGCATCGAGGGGGGCCATCCTTTGGGATCTTTTTCGACTTTCTTTCTGCCTGGGGCCCCCACTGGCCCCCAGGAGTACCATTTCCTGGGCCCTCTCTGGATCTTTTTCCTGGCTGCTGCTCCTGCTGGCATCAAAGGGGGCCATACCTTGGGGTCTTTTTGGACTTTCTTCCTGCCTGTGGCTCCCACTGGCCCCTAGGTGTACCATCTCCTGGGGACTCTCCTGATCTTCTTCCAGGGTGGGACCAAGGGTAACCACCTCCTGGGATCTCTCTGAACCTTCTTTTTGGTCGAGGTTCCAGCTATTTTCAAGGCGGATGACCCACTGGGGATTCTCTTGACCTTCTTCCTGACTCTGGGTCCAGCTATCTCTGAGTGGTACCTCCCTCTGGTGCCTCTGTGGATCTCCTTCATGGCTGTGGGTCCAGCTATCCCCAAGGGGAACCGTCCCCTGAGGCCTCTCTAGACCTTCCTGGCTAAGGTTTCCGATGTCCCCCAGGGGGACTGTACTCTGGAGGATCGGAGGACCTCCCTCCTGGCTGTAACTTCTTTGGTTCCACAGCGGGGCCACTTCCTCCTGGAAACCCACTGTAGCACACGGAACAGGTGGGTAGATCCCCAGAGGAGGCATCTGAAGTGGGACTACTGTAGCTTCTGCATCCATGGCTACTGTTGATGGCAGAGGTGGCAAGAAAGGGACCCCCACTGGGTGTGGTGCATGGAATGGGATTGGGTATGGCACCGGCATTGGCAGAGGGGGTTGTATGGTCTGAGCCCAGGGACTTGGGGGTCCTGGCATGTAAAGAACAGCTGGGGCTGGTACCTGGGCCTCAAAATATCGTCTACCAGGCAATCCCATGGCAACCATATCTCTCTGTGGCTCTGCATTCAGGGGCCATGCCATAGCACCAAGCTGCTCGGCTTGAGGTCCAGTTACTATTTCATGGGCCAATGGGATGAACTGGGCTGACCTCTCCACCTGGAGCAGCCGCCCGCGAAGCACATCACAGTCCATGAGTGCCTGTTGCAGGGTGATGCGTGTGAAGCGCAACTGTGCTGCCACCTCCTTGCGCTCCCCTTGCATCCGCTGTAGCTCGGAGGCCAAGGCCCAGGCGGCGGTCTCTCTCTCTTCTATCTGTTCCTGCAACCTCCGGATCCGGCGCCCCTGCTGCTCCCGTTGCCTTGCGCCCACGCGCACGCTCAAGGCCAGCGCGCTCCAGGCACAGGCTCTCTGGTAGGTGCGCGGCGCCTGCGGGTCGGCCAGGACACTTCGAAGCTGGTCTTCCACCTCATTCCAGGGCCGCGAGCGGAAGGCCATGTAGAAATCTGGGCCACCGCCGTTCATGAGGACTTCGTTGTTGATGAACCTGATCACCTCAGCGTGACGGAACCCACTGGCTTGGTCCCCAAAGTCAACTGCCATGGCTGCTGCGGCTAGTTAACCAACTGTTTCACAGGAAATGCCACCTCTGCCGCCGCCAGTAAAGGTCCACCCTTCACCTCCACACTCAGTCATACTAAAGTCCTTTTCCAGTCCTGGCCTCCCTTTGAGCCTCTTTCCTCTGACCACCTTGCTTTCATCACAAAGAGTAAAGCACACGCCCTCACCACACCAACCCCTACCAGGCAACGGTGTTAGTCGTCACAGAGACAACCTCTGAGTCACCACGCAAGGCCTGCTGGGATTTACTTCCTTCTGCAGAGTGCCCCCTACAGAGCGAATAGGCTGGATGGCTGCACTGTGGGCACTGCCGTGAGCTTACAGAAGAATTTGTTTCTAAGAACTTCAGAAGGACAATACCCAGCATCGTGAAATGAATTCCTAGTTGGGTGGTAGAGTTGCATACATGGGTACCGTTCTATTCTTATCCCAATTCCCTCTCCCATAACTCTTAGGTACAACTTCAAACCTTCAATACACTCAGTCACACTGTCTATACACTTACCTTGTCATCCTGTACAGATGATCTTGGAGTCCTTTTCATTAAGAAAATCCAGGGGGACCTGGGTGGCTCAATGGTCAAGGGTCTACCTTTGGCTCAGGTCGTGATCCCCGGGGTCCGGAGAGCAAGTCCCACATCGGGCTCCCTACATGGAGCCTGCTTCTCCCTCTGCCTATGTCCCTGCCTCTCTCTGTGTCTCTTATGAATAAATAAATAAAATATTTTAAAAAAAAGAAAAGAAATCCAGTGATTGAGCCATGAATGCCCTGAACTCTCCTTATAAATTCACTCTGATGTTTACTTGATCAATTATTCTCAGAAGGTGTTTCTTTTCTTCTTTTAGAGTAGATGTTCCCCTCGTAATCTGGGTTTTCCCTGTAAGAAATGCTAGAAAAGTGCTTTAACCTGCACTAAATAATAATTGGTATCTACATGAAGGAATAAAGCTACATACTAAAGCTAACTACATAGATGAATACAAAAAATAGTACTCGTGCATTTTATAACTCCTCTTTTTGTAATATATGATTTAAAGGATGACTACATAAAACAATACAAATCTGTCTTCATGGGTACACAATGTATAAAGATGTATTTTGTGGCAATAACAATGTAAACTGTATAGGATGAAAGATTTTGTATACTAATTGAAATTAAGTTTGTATTAATCTAAAATTTGCTGTATGAAATAACATGTTAATTGTAGTCCCTAGAACAAACACTAAGAAAATAACTAAAAAATATGCAGAAAAGGAAAGGAGAAGGAAATAAAAATTGTTACCAAAAAAAAAGGAATCAATGAAACATAAAAGAAGGCAGTAGTGGAGGAATTGGGGTAGAGGGAGATATAATTTATTTTATTTTTTGAAATATTTATTTATTTATTTGAGAGAGAGATTGAGGGGGGAGGGGCAGAAGGAGAGGGAGAGAGAGAATCTCAAGCCCACTTCCTGCTGAGCAGGGTCAGCCTTGGGGTTTGATCTCATGAACATGACATCATGACCTCAGCAGAAATCAAGAATCAGACACTTAATGGAGTGAGCCATCCAGGCCCCCCTGATATAAGACATTTTTTTAGAAAACAAATGGTAAAATGCCAGAAGTCCTTTGCTACCACTACTTATATTAAATGCAAATAGATTACAATTTATAGGCAGAGATGAATAGAAAAGATAATTTTTTAAAAACGTAATCCAAATATATGTTGCACTGGTTGAAAGTAAAAAGATGGAAAAGACTATTATTTGATGCAAACAGTAGCCAACTGAGAGCTAGAGTGGCTCTTTCTTCAAATATCAGAGAAAGATTTAAAATGTAAAAAGGAGGGGAATCCCTGGGTGGCTCAGCAGTTTGGGGCCTGTCTTCAGCCCAGGGCGTGATCCTGGAGTCCTGGGATCGAGTCCTGCGTCCAATTCCCTGCGTGGACCCTGCTTCTCCCTCTGCCTGTGTCTCTGCCTCTCTCTCTGTCTTTTTTAAAAAAAGATCTTGCTTTCAATTTTTTTAAAAATAAAATATAAAAAGGGATAGATCATACAATGTTTAAAAAAGGTCGATTCCCCAGATGGAATTTATCTTAGGAAAACAAAAGTGGCTCAATAAATGAAAATCAATTAATATAATATACCACATTACTAGAATGAAGGAAAAAACCCATGTGGTCATCTAGTAGATACCAAAAAAGAAAAAAAGCATCCAAAAAAATGCAACACATGTTCATGAGAAAAATATCTCAAAAACTAAAATAGAAAGGAACTTCCTCAACCTGGAAACAAGCATTTATGAAAATCCAACAGCTAACATTATGATCAAGGGTAAAAGACTCAAAGTTTTCCCCACTAAACAGGTGCAGACAAGAATGCCAGTTTCACCATTGCTGTTCAACAGTGTCCTGGAACTTCTGGCCAGAGCAGTTAGTCAAGAAAAGGAATAAAAGACATCCATATTGGAAAGGAGTAAGTAAAACTCTCTATCTCTGTATAGAGATACATGAGAGGACATGATCCTATATATAAAATTTTGCCAGGAATCCACAAGAAAGTTACTAAAACTAATAAATCCAGCAAAGTAGTGACATACAGGACCAACATGTCAAAATTATACTAGCAATTCCATCTCCAGAAAAATTAAGAAAATAAGTCCATTTTCAAAAATCAAAAGACTAAAATATTCAGGAATACACTTAACCAAAGAGGTAGTAGACTTACACACTGAAAACTACAAAACACTGTTGAAAGTAGTTAAAGGAAATCTAAAAAATAGACATCCTGTGCTCATGAATTGGAATATATATTATTAAGATGGCAACACTCACCAAAAGTGATCCACAGAGTCTATGAAATCTCCATTAAAACCCCAGTAGCCTATTGCTTTTGCAGAAATGTAAAAGCTGATCCCAAAATAACATGAGCAAGGGACCCTAATAGGCAAGATAATCTTTGAAAAAAAAATAAAGTTGGAGAATTCACACTTTCTGATTTCAAAACTAACTACACAAGGCTACAGGATCAAAGCAGAGTGGTACTAGCATAAAGACAAGCAGATCAATGTGATAGAATTGAGAGTCCATGAATAAACCCATGCATCTATGGTCAATTGATTTCCCACAAGGTGCCCAAACCTTTCAATGAGGAGGCAATAGTCTCCAACGAATTGCTCTGATATAACTGGAGATCCACATGTAAAAAAAAAAAAAAATGAAGGTAGACTATTACCTCACCCCCTATACAAAAAACAGTGTTTGTTTTGCTTGTTGTTGCTGCTTGTTTGAAGTCATTGCTTTAGTTACTTCTCTAAATGATTTTTGTAAAGTTTCTAATTTTTTTTATCATATATGGCCACTGAAGTCTGTTTCATTAGCTCAGTGGTCAGCTAATGTATTGACAGAGTATCTATAAACATCTGAAGCCCCCAAATATTTTTTTACAGAAATTTTAAAAGCTCCCCACTCTTTGAAATTTGCCTCTATGTTGGGACACTCCTGCAATGCATAGACAGGCCCTTTATGACACTGATTTCACCTTTACTTCCTGCTTGTGCAGAGCCTGAGGGTCAGCTAGTGGTGAAAGTTTGGGATCTTCTCTGAAGATTAGGCCTTTTCTGACCATGACTCCAGTCTTGGGTACATGTTCTTAAAAGCCCTCATTTCTGGGGCATCTGGGTGGCTCAGTCGGTTAAGTACGGGACTCTATCTCGGCACAGGTCATGAGCTCCGGGTTGCGAGATCGTGTTCTGCATTGGGCTCTGCACTCAGCGTGGAGTCTGCTTGTCCCTCTCTCTCTGCTCCCCACCTCCCTCTCAAGTAAAAATAAATAAATAAATGCATACATGCATACATAATTTCTCTTTAAAAAAAATAAGCCCTCCTATCCCCCACATGCCTTCTTTCTCACTCTCTCTTCCCAGCCTTTTTGATCCGTCTCTTGTTTGTCCTGTTAGCCCTTTCCCCAGGCTGCTATGGCCAATTCTTTTGCTTTTAAGTGTTTTTTGGCAAATGCCATCTGGGCAGCTGCCCCAGACCTGGAAACACTCTGTGCTGAGCAAAACAAAGGCAAGCCCTTGTACACCAGTCCTTCAGAGAGCCACCAGACAGATGGAAATGCACAATCATGGTTCTTTGAGAATGAGGTCGGTATTGCTCCCTTGGGTACTTTGCAACCTCTAGGGGTACAGGCTGTTGGGTTCATGGCCACCTCCAATCTGGTATGTGGACAAGGGTAAGCAAATTATTGAAAACATCAGGAAAAATAATTTTTTTTAACTAAAACATCAGAAACCTCTCTTGCTGCAAAGCACCTGCTTCTTTCATTAAGCTTTGTACTGGTTGCTGTAAATTTTCAACTGGACTCCAGAGTTCTGTAAAAGTTGACTCTGACAGGTTTTGCCACATCATTGATGGAGGGATGGAGCCCTGGGGTTTCTGATTTTACCATTTTTTGTATAAAGAAAGTTATCATAGCCCAAAAAAGCCATCAATATTCAAAATAAGATGAATTTTATCTCCTTGTCATCTCTCACACATCCTTGCTGCTCAGCTGTCACCTCCTCCAGGAAGACTTTCCTGACCACTCCACAACTAATACCATAGCTAGTTTTTTTAATTCTTCTTTCTCATCAACTAGACTTAATCCCTTGAGAACAAACACTGTATACTTCCATTTCTGGATCCCTAGCACTTAACACAGTTCCAGGTACATGCCAGTGCTTATAAATGCCAAAGAGAGGGGACAACAGAATCATGAAAGATAGGGGAAAGGGAGAGAAAGGGGGAGAAATGGAAACTATTCCATTATTCTTATAATCCTGGTTAAAATTCAGACTAAAACCTATAAGACAATATCCTTGTCATGCTTTTAATCCAAAGAAAAGTAATTTTTTTAAAGAGACACACACATCCCAAAAGAAAAAAAAATCACCATATCCAAACCAATGCATCTATTTTTAGGGGAAGTGCTCTCATACAATGTTAAACTTTCTAACAACT